TTACACAGAAAATTAAAAGGCATTAAAATAAGCTGCAACGCTTATTATTTTAATCCAATTTTGCTTATTTTAATACCAAAATGAATTAAAATAAGCAAAATTGGATTAAAATAAAAAGCGTTGCAGCTTATTTTAATACCTTATAATTTTCTGTGTAGAGTCGAAGCCAACTTCAAGGAGGTGTCTCCATTTAGGATTTTGCAAATATTTTGAACTTAATTTCCTTATTAATAAAGTTTTATTTTTTCTTTATTTTTAATAAAAACTCATTTTGGATTATAATTGGGTTAGTCCACTGACTTTCGTCTAATAGTGGTTGCAACCAAATTTTAAAAAAATCTAGTTTTAATATATATGTGAAACTCGATGATTCCCTGAGTTCGTTAACCATAATATTATGGTAAAAATTTTATTCCGTTTAAAAATATTAAATATCAAAAGTAGGAGGTTCACATTGTGATTTTGTAACCTTATAAATTTTTCAATTTTTTTAAAAACGCTATTATTAAAAAACTATTAAAAATTAGATGTTGGAACTCACCAAAAACATAAATTACTTTATTTCGCACAGAGGAACGAAAGAATTATAGCAAAAATTTATTATTTCTGGATGATATACGATTTAAAAAAAAAAATTTATTTAAATATTCTCAAGATTTTTATTTACTTATAACTTTTTTGTCGGTGCTCCGAAAAAATTGAGATTTTGCACAAAGATTTTTTATAATATTCTTTACCTTCTATTAAAATCTTACGAAGGTGTTTGGCTTCGTTTTGGTGATATTAATTTTCAAAATTTTTTATTTAAAAAGGTTAATTAAAAGACTTGAAGTTAACTAACCAAATTCAAACTGCTCCATTTTTTATAAAAATATATTAAAATGTAGCGATTTGAAATTGGTCAGTTAACTTCAAGTCTTTTAATTAACCTTTTTAAATAAAATTTTTTGAAAATTAATATCTCCAAAACGAAGCAAAACACCTTCATAAGATTTTAATAGAAGGTAAAGAATATTATAAAAAATCTTTGTGCAAAACCTCAATTTTTTCGGAGCACCGACAAAAAAGTTATAAGTAAATAAAAATCTTGAGAATATTTAAATAAAATTTTTTTTAAAATCGTATATCATCCAAAAATTATAAATTTTTGCAATAATTCTTTCGTTCCTCTGTGCGAAATAAAGTGATTTATGTTTTTGGTGAGTTCCAACATCTAATTTTTAATAGTTTTTTAATAATAGCGTTTTTAAAAAAATTGAAAAATTGAAGGTTACAAAATCACATTGTGAACCTCCTATTTTTGATATTTAATATTTTTAAAGGGAATAAAATTTTTACCATAATATTATGGTTAATGAACTCATCGAGTTTCACATATATTAAAACTAGATTTTTTAAAATTTGGTCGCAACCACTATTACACGAAAGCCAGTGGACTGACCCAATTGATTTATTTTTTATATATAAAAATCGACGTTTCGTTTTTTGTTTCTCTTTCGAAGAATAATCATATAAAATTTTCAAAAATGTCTACTTTGTCGAATCATTAAAACGACTAGAATTTTATTATACATAATAACTGGTTCCATATAGCACAGCTTTAAAAAAAAAATTTAATATTAATTTATTCCAGATTGAATGAGGAATGAGAAAAAAAAACATTTTGTCACATTTCTATATAAATAATTAATGTGCCATATATATATATATATATATATATTTTTTTTTTTAAACATGAATTATTCAATAGGTCAAAATTGACACAAAGCTGATGACCATTTATTATATAATAAATAATTGCCGTTACATAAAATTTTCCTCGAGTGAATTATTTTCTCCTTTTTTTTTTTTTTTAATTGACTATATTACAAATCGTTATCTCACTTACGGTGTCAAAAACTTTCATTCTAATGAAGATAATATATTTTATATACCTATTTTATCTTTTGAAAGAAAAATATATATATATATATATATGGCTTTTAGTTTGTTTTTTGTGATAAAAGACATTTCTTTCATGTATGGAGTATGAAATTATTATAAAATTTAGGAGAAACCTTTATCAGATGATAATTTGCATTAATATACAAAAAGAACGAAATTTTATATATATATATGTCCCTCGAGTCCTTTGACAATGATGAGGAAATACAAATGGCATTTAAAAGACATATATATATATATGTATATGCAGCAACAAGTTCTCTACACGAATAACAGAGAGATTAAAATTGAAATGAGTAGAAAATCGTGTTAGGACCGATTGTCGAGAGAAATATATTTTATGAAAGTTGAATTTTTTTTTTTCCTTTAACTGATAGGTCAAATGGTTTTGTCACTTGAGAAAGTCTTAGTTTCTTCTTTAATTGTTAAGTATGCTTATAATTTACTCATTAGGCGCTTTTTTTTCTTTCATGAATAATTGAATTTACTGTTTTTTAAATAAGAAAAAAATATATACATAAATATGAGTGTATATTTATTTCACTATTATTATTATTATTATTATTATTATTATTATTATTATTATTATTGTACTTATAATTTATAATTTTTTTTTCAATTTATATTTATTTCATTATTATTATTATTTTATACTTATTATTTCTATTAAAACTTGAATTAAATTAATCGTTAATTTATTGTTTATCATTGGTATAAGAAATTTTACTAATTCTATACGCACAAATGTCAGTATAATTTGCGGAACATTGATTTTAATTTATGTATGACAATTTTATTGCTAATAATGTCAACGACGTTACGACAGACTAGATTTAAGATGTATTTTTACCTTTTATGGAATAATTAATTGTTTGGTTATTTTTTTTTTTTTCATTGCAAACGTATTAAATCGTGTCAAATATAAAGATATAATTTGCATTTAATTGCATTTACACACGCGAGAGAAAATACATTTGTCTCAGTGCTAAATTAAATAATTATTTGTTTCAAATAAATATTTTTAATTGCAGACCTCGGATCGATTTAAAGGTACAAAAAAGTCGTTTTAGTTGATTTTTTTTTATTTTAATGAAAAAGTTTTATAGATTTTTAAATTAAATTTTTTTTTTTAAATAATAATAATAATTTTGGAAGAGTTAAAGTTAAAATTTTTAGAAATAATTGAATTTCAAAAGATTTTATTAATTTTTTGAACAATAATTAAATTTTACAGAACTAAAAATAATTTATCAAATATAATTTTAGATAACATTTTTTAAAAGTAGGTAATTGAATTTTTGAAAAGATTTACAATTGAGATTTTTGAAATTAATTCAAGTTCAAGTGATTTTTAATTACAAAATTTTTGATGATTTCACTAAAAAATTGATTAGAAATTGTGGACAAAAATACAATAATTGGAAAACCATTATTTTTGAAAAATAGTTTCAGGTAGTTGAATTTTTGAAGAATATTAAAAAAATAGTTAAAAATAATTGAATTTCAGGAGAGTTATAATAAAAATTATTAAATTTCAAAAACTTTTCAATGGAAAATTTTAGAACCTTTTAAATTGAAATTTTAGAAAATAATTGAAATTCAATTGAAAAGTTTGAAAATAATTGAATTTTAGTTGATTTTGGATTGAAAATTTTGATAATTAATTATGAATTGAAATGTTTGAAAATAATTGAATTTTAGTTGATTTTGAATTGAAAATTTTGATAATTAATTTTGAATTGAAAGTTTATATAATAATTTAATTTTAGTTGATTTTGGATTGAAAATTTTGATAATAATTTAATTTTGAATTAAAATTTTTGAGAATAATTGAATTTTAGTTGATTTTGAATTGAAATTTTTGATAATAATTGAATTTTATTTGATTTTGAATTGAAAATTTGGAAAATAATTAAATCTTAAAAGAGTTTGAATTGAAAATTTTAAAAATAATTGAATTTCAATTGAAATTTTGGAAAATAATTGAATTTTAAAAAATTGAAGAATTTATTAGAAATTACAGACAAAAATTGAACTTAAAAATCTTTTTAATTGCAAAATGCTTTCAAGATAATTGAATTTTCGAAGAATATTATAAAAATCATTAGAAATAATTGAAATTTTTGCAAATAATCAAAATTTCAATAAATTTTAAATTAAAAATTTTTGGTAATTTTATTTGCAATTTTTTTTTTAAATATAAATAATTATTAAATTTCATAAAAATTTTAATTGAAAAATAGTTTAAAATAATTGAATTTGTGATAAATATCATTAAAATTATTAAAAAAAAATAAATGTAGTGAAGAATTTTATTTAAAACTTTGTTAAATAATTGAAACAAAGTAGATCTGAAGAAGATCTGCATTTCAGACTAAAAAAAAACGTATTTTGTTTAAAAATTTTGTAAAAAAGAATAAGTCCCATTTTATTAAAATAAGTCGAAAAAAGTCGTATTTTTGAAAAAAAAAAGTCATAGAAATAGTCGAAAAAGTCGTATAATCTGAAGCCTGTATTTGCTATAAATTTTTATTTAATTTAAATAAATATTTTTATTTAAATTTAATAATTATATGAAGCTGAAGTACGCAACATTTATATGATAAACTATTTTTAAAGAAATAATTTTTAAAAAATGAAAAATTCTATAATTCTTTGCCTAAAAAATATTTTTTTATAATTTTTTGATTAATGAAAACTACAAGGAATATTTTTTAAGCGAAAAATTTATTATTATTTATTTATTTATTTTTTTAAAAATCGTTTATCATAAACGTTGCGTACTTCAGTTTTGTATAATTATAAAATTTTTTGTGTGCCAAACAAAATTTTTATTTGAAACGAAAAAAAAAGTTATTTAGCCCCTTGAGACAAATTTTATATTTAATTTAAATAAATATTAACTTTTGAAGCAAATAATTTTTTTATTAAAATAGAGTAAATAAACTTTAAGTACATATATATTTGAATAAAAAATTTCCAAATTGATTAAAAAAAAAAAAAAATTTAATTATAAAAGATATTTTTAAAAAATCATTGGTTATAACTGTACTTACTGTTTGCACATTTTTGTGGTACTGGCAAGGACAAAAATCTTCCTGGTCTGTTACTGTGTGGTCGTGCCTCATTAATAGCTGAGTCCACGTTTGCGATTACTGCTAAAATCACCACGACGGCCAGCGTCGACCACGTCATCTATATTTAAAAATAATTAATTAATAACGGTAATTAAATTTGATTTAAAAAAAAATCGTGATTTGCAAATAAATTAAAAAGTTTTTAAATTATTATAACTAATTCAAAAAGAAAAGAAAAAATAAAATGCTCTGTTAGATACAAATTTTGCTTATTAAATTACAATTTATAATTATTATAATATGTTTATGTTTATGTTTTGAAACAATCAGAACACGTTAAGGAGACGCGAACACATTTCACTTACAACTGCAGTGAAAATATTTTTATATTTACGGTTGCAGTGAAAGGAAGATTCCCATCAGATATAGGGTGTGTCGTACTGAGAATGAGAGAAATTTTTAAATTTGTTTCACTTTTTTACACGATTTTATGTATAGACGTTGAAAGATTACATATATCCTATATATAGGTATATATATATACAGTAATTACTGTCTGACTAATGAAAACTTGTTCTACTGAAATTACTTCACTCATTTTATTGCATAAACGAATCTTCATTAATGTATTAGATTTTCCCTCAATATTCTTCATTTTTTTTTCTCCATATTGAGGTTCTAAACGTTAAAATGGATGAAATTTTTTAAAAATAACTAAAGCAATGAAAAATAAAAATTTCACTAAAATATTCAAGAATTTATTTTTGAATACAGAAATCAATATTTTATAATAAAATTTGAATTTAAAAAAGTAGTAAATAAATTTTTCATTCATATGAACGTTTAGAATTTGAGGCACATTATATTATAATCATAAAAATTGTTTACTCAAATTAAATATATAATTTATTTCAATTTAATAAAATTATATTCGTATCAAAATTTTAATGTAACTATTTTTTTTTCAATTTATTTCTAATACAATTTTTGTTTTATAAAAAATTGTATTTATTTAAAACAAATAAAATTTTATTTAAAAATTCACTTCACATCTTGCGATTATAAATTTCTTTTAATTATTTTCACCTCAACAAGCAATTTTGTCCGAAAAAAAAAAGAAGAAAAAAAAAATTCGGCGCACTTTTATCACATCAGTCCACAAATTCACAGAAATAATCCACTTACGATTTTTTTTTCTTTTTTTTTTTTTTTTATAAAAAAGGATTAAAACTTTTTTTTTTTGTTCACTATGTTTACGATTCATTCACCCAGAAGGTTTATAAGGAATGCTTTCAAATGAATGAGTGCAAACAAACGGTTTTTTTTTTTTTTTTTTTAAAGAGAAACTGTCGACACTCACCTTGATTAAGGCAGTTGGACAGGTTGACGTTCAAAGAATCACACACTGATAGATTATGCAGAGACGTCCGACTTTAGCATCAGTTATATAGAATTGCTCCCCACCATCATTGGACCCATCCTATGGCAGTCCCAATGGAAATTATATATATATATATATATTGTAGTGCGAGGGCCCCAATATCAATATCTTTGCCTTCAAAGGTGCAACAATTTTTTTTCCTTTTCTTTTTTTTTTTTAAAGAAAAAATCAGACGGACATGAAACAAAAGTCAGTGTTACATTTTTGTGTTTTTTACAAACTGAAAATAAGAATAATACAAAAACTGTTTTTTATTAAAGTAATTTCTATCTTACTGGAAAAAAAGGCAATTTTGAAAAAAAGGCAACAAATGCTTGTCATTTATCAAATAAATTTTATAAAAAATTTTTAAAAAAAATTTTATTAAAAAAGTATTCCCAAAATTGAAAAAAAGTATCAAAAAAGTGGCATCTTTAAAAAATGAAGTAAAATTAGTTTTCTATATATAAGTTTGACATTAACACAGAAAATTAAAAGGCATTAAAATAAGCTGCAACGCTTATTATTTTAATCCAATTATGCTTATTTTAATCCATTTTGGTATTAAAATAAGCAAAATTGGATTAAAATAATAAGCGTTGCAGTTTATTTTAATACCTTATAATTTTCTATGAAAGTGTAAATATTTTTTCTTAAAAAAATTGAAAGAAAAATTCTAAGGAATAAAATTAATATTATTTTTCTCCTGATTATTTTTAAAAAAAAACTATCTATTGCTAAATTTCGATTTGGCACATGATTATTCCATAAAAAATGATTTTTCACATAAATTTTTATTTTACAAAATAGCATTTAATACAAAATGTTTTTTTTAAACGAAAATGTTTACTCAACGGAATTTTCAAAATACCAAATTTTTATTTGAGAAAATTTCTCTTTACCCGCAACTGTTTCTTGAAAAGTTGAATTCTAATTTAATCTATTTTTAATTTATTAGAATTCTCATTGAGTAGAATTTTAAGTAAATCGAATTTTTAAATCCTAGAATTTGGGATCGGAAGCTTATATAAAATATTTTTAGTAATTTTAAACAATAATTTTAATTAAAAATCTCCAAAAATTCAATTATTTCTAAAAAAATCTTAAGTCAAACTTTTCCAAAATTCAATTATACTTTTAAAATTTTTTTGATTTTTTTTTTTTTTGATAACAGTTTAATTAGATTCACCTCAGCGCTACGCAGATTAATACTTAATCAAAGTCATAACATGCCAACCTAGATGTAATTATTTTTTACTGTATTCTTTATTATATATATGAACTTAGTTTTAAGAAGTACTTTTGTACAAAAGGGCTAGTCCCGTTGATTGAATATAAAAAAAAAATTTGTATCTAAAATTCTTTATACTAAATTAATAATTTCAATCCAATTATTCAAAAATTTAATTAAATAAAACATTTTTTAATTGAAAATTCTCTAAAATTCAATTACTGTTTGAATCTTTGTTAATAATTTTCAGCAATTCTAACTTATTAAAATTTTAATTCAAAATCTCTCCTAAAATTCAATTATTATTAAAAATTTTGATTCAAATTTTTTTTTTAAATAAGACTAATCTTTAACGTAAATTTCAGCTTAAAATATTTGTTAGTTTACGAGATTTGCAATAATAACAAAAAATTTTGTAAACTAACAAATATTTTAGGCTGAAATTTACGTTAAAGATTAGTCTTACTATATATAACAAAATTCCAAAGTTTCATTGCAATCGGTTAACCTACTCCAAAAAAGTCAAAATCTCACCTGGAATCGCACAGTTGGGTAAAGAGAAATTTTGTAAAATAAAAATTTTTAATTTAAAAATTAAAACTTCTTGAATTCTGTTATTTTAAAAATTATTTTTTTAAAAAAAGTAGCATTTAGTGGCAAGTGGACAAAATTAGTAGTAAAAAAGTAGCCTTGTTGAAAAAAAACACAAAAAAGTAAAAAAAAAAAAAAAAAGTGTTTCACTTCGAAGCCTGTTATTAATAAATTCGGTTTTAGAAATCAGAAGAAAATTTATAAAGACAAAAAAAGTTTTATTGAAAATTTTGAAGTTCTGTGAAAATTTATACCAAAATATGAAAAATTTAAATGTGATGTTATTTAATTGAACTTATGGAATTTCATATTTAATTTATAAAAACAATAAATATTTTTGAAGTAAAGTCTTGGTAAAATATATTTTTTTATTTTTAAATAATAAATAAATTAAAAAATATTTTTAATGCTATATTCATAATAATTAATTTTTGAAGAAAATTCAAAATTTTCAAAAATTGTTAAAAATCAATTATTTTTGGAAAAAAAAATTATTTTTCAGTTAAATTGAGTTAATTTAGCTGAAAAATGCAAATTCTAATGATTTTTGATAATTTTCATTAATTTTTGAAGAAAATTCAAAATTTTCAAAAATTGTTAAAAATCAATTATTTTTGAAGAAAAAATTATTTTTCAGTTAAATTGAGTTAATATAGCTGAAAAATGCAAGTTCTAATTAATTAATTTCATCTTTTTCACTGAAAATTATAATATAATATTCAATAATATTTTTCAATATTCAATTATTTTACTATACATACGCTTCTTTATATTGTATTCGCATTTACTATCATTTATATTATAAATATAATAAATATTTATAATAAATTTTTTACAATTTTTTTTTTAATCATTCAAGAAATGTCAAAATTGTTACATATTCTAATAGAATATTCTGCAAAATATATCAAACAACTTGCAATAATATATCAATATAAAGTTAATAATGCCTTGAAATAATCCTATAGATATTCATTTTTGATACCCTTGAGATTTTCTTCAGATATAATTTATAGTATTTGTTATGATATAATATAATACTATAATATGAAAACGAAGAATAAAAATGTTTAACCTCCAGTTTATGGTTTTCGGTTTTATGTATTACTAAAAATTTTAACACAACTTTAAGGCCAATAAAATGATGTCACTACAGGAGAAAATTTACATTCTTATTGTCAACTTTACTTTTAAAATTATGGAAATAATTTGAAATTTTTGGAAAAATAAAGTACCTATAAAATAAGGTAAAAGAATAATATGAGACAAAAATATAATTCGCAACTTTTGTATAACACTTTTTTTTTAAAAAAAAAAAAAAAAGAAACAAATATCATCTTTTCTTTCAATTAATTATTATTTATCTTTTTATTTTTTAAATTGGAAAATTATAAAATTTTTAATCTAAAAGTTTTTTTTTTAAAATAATTTTTCGATGAATAAATATTGCACTCTCTAAATCTGAATTAGTAAAAATGTTCACTAATTTCAATTAGTAACTCACTTTTTGCTTCTCAATTAGTAAAATTTTACTAATTATTAGTAACTTTTAACTAATTCTAAAGCAAAAAGTGAGTCACTAATTGAAATTAGTAAACATTTTTACTAATTCAGATTTAGAGAGCAAGAAATATTTGTGAGATGAAAATTCATAGATGTTTTCATTAAAAAAAAAATATTTCTTTCACAATCAGGGCTAGAGTTTTATTTAAAGCATGATTTTTAAATGAAAGGGTCATTTATAAAATTCATCAAAATTCTGTCGACGCAAATTTGAAGGGCATTTTATGGAATATTCCCTAAAAATTTTATATGGATATTTCACAAATATTAATAAATATTCCCCGAAAATTTAAATATATTTAAAAACGTATCGATTAATTTATTTGTGAAAACTACTTTTTACTATAAATTATTACGAAATTATTTTATTTTAAAAATCAACATGTTTAAAACACATCACAGAAAATTATTGTTGTACTGTTTTAATTTTCAATTTAAAAATATTATTTTTTTTTATAAAAATACATATATAAATATTTTCTGATACAAACTACTTAAAATGAACTTTTGAAAAATTTTACGCATATGTAAGGGGTCATCCATAAAGCATGTGATACATTTTTTCAGAATTTTAACACCCTATGAATTTATCTAATTCAATTGATTATGATTTAAAACATTTCAAGTTAAAAACTGATTTAAATTAATTCATGTTGGGTGTAACATAAATATACGAATCGATTCGTTTCAATGCAAGGAGTTCAATTTTTTTTATGTATTAACTTGAATTTGAAAAAAACAAAATTTTTTAGCTAAAACATGAATTTTTGATTTTTTAATTTTTATTAATTCTTAAAATTTAAATAAAATCTATATTTTTTATATATACCAATCGATTTGTTTTAATACAAAGAATAAAATTATTTCATATATATAAACTTGAATTTTAATAAACACATTTTTAGCTAAAATGGGAATTTTTGATTTTTTAACTTTCATTAATTCTTTAAATTTCAATCAAATCTATATTTTATATATATATATATCAATCAATTCGTCTTGACGTAAAGAAGACGATTATATTATACTAGCGCCTCCGACGGCCTTTGACCGTCTCTGTTGCTTCTATTCTTTGTCCATTCAATTTAATTTTCAATTTATGTTTCATAATTTATTACAATTATTTTATTAAATATTTAATAACCCACACAACACCCAAAATTCCCTGAAACTTGACAGAACCTCACATGGCGAGGTTAGGAAACTTCAGTGCGGCAAGGTTCATACAAGTTTGTGTCGATGTTTAAATGTCCACATGAAAAGAATATTCACACGAAACTTGGAGGAAATATTACACATAAATATTCACGTGCAATGTTCAGTCAATGTTGTGTCAATATTGAAATTACATTTTCGCCTAGTTATAAAAATTTCATTTATACTAATATAATAAGTATAGGTGAATATTGACACAACATTGACTGAACATTGCACGTGAATATTTATAGTGTAATATTTATAGTGTAATATTTCCTCAAAGTTTCGTGTAAATATTCTTTTCATGTGGACATTTAAACATCGACACAAACTTGTATGAACCTTGCCGCACTGAAGTTTCCTAACCTTGCCGTGTGAGGCTCTGTCAAGTTTCAGGGAATTTTGGGTGCTGTGTGGGAATATTTTGTTAACAAAATGCAAAAAGGCATATGTAATTATAAAGAAAGTTTTAAACAGAAAAATAATAATCTATTATA